GAATGTTTATGTTACGTGTAATGACTGTGTATTTGTAGGTGAACACGGCACACAATCAATTTGCACTCAGCGACATCTCACAAACAGTCATGAAGTGAATGACCAGTTATTTTTAAAAACCTGGGGAATTGCTAGTCAAGCCACCAAGAAAAGACCCCTTATCTTTCCTACATTTCTTCATTTGCTTGGGAAAGATAGCCCTGTAATTGGCTCACACCTGCACACTTTGAAGATTGTGTCTTTCATACCAATCCTTTTTAGCACAGAGTCACAGATACAACACACAACGTGTTCTTTTTTAAAAAATGGGAGAAGGAATTGAAGGCAATTAGGTTTTTTTAATATAGCTCATGACAAAGCCAGTAGCCCAGGGATTTTTCCCTCTTTTTTTGCAGACATTTCATCCTTACAGCAGAAGTTTCCGATATAATCATACAGATACTTTAATAGCCAACCATACAATCTCACTCTTGCTGCCCACAAGACCCTTCAATCACACTAACTGCCAAAAAATACTTAATGAATCTTTCTGATGAAGGGTCTTCACCCTAAATCTTAACCTGTCTCTCTCTTTTATATGTTGATCGACCTGCTGTGTATTTCCAGCATTTTGGGGTTTATTTCAGATCTCCAGCACTTGCAGTTTCTTTCAAGTCTTTTCGCACATCACCTTGTCGATCTCCCACAGCAGTATAAACTCAAGGCCTAAACACTAATAATGAACACACACTGCTTCTCTGCTCTCCTCCATATGAATATAATGCAACACACAGCAACACAATGACATACTGGAGCATCCAAAAGCAGTGAGAACCGTGCCAAGGCAGAATACAAATGTTACACACATTAACCCGCCTCCGCTTCAATAAACACGCTTAAACTGAGAGAATGACTAACATTTTCTGAAAAGAACTAGTAAGCTTGCATCTTTCAGCCCATATGTGGTATAAATAAGTCACTCGACCAGGTGAGCCACTGCTTCGTTTATACCAGGGCCTGATCATGAGTTACTGGGCCCTATGTCATTCATTGTTTAATGCCCCCACTGCCTTGCATTTGCACATAGAGAAGCCATTATTGAGCAGACTTTGTTCTGCTGCAGGGGATTATATGAAACGCGTGGCTCATTCACATATTTACAAGGGCAAGGATTGTGATGGGACAGAAATGATGATTCCCAATAATGCTCAATTCTCTATAATATTGAGCAGACTGAGTGAGGCATTGAAAACCTGAATGGCACTACTATTCAGTCTCGATTGCTGAAGGCCCATAAGAAGTCCCAACTTAGGCCCCTGACTTGTCGAGATGATTTATTACCCGCAGAGGCCAAAACAATTGCAAGACTGAGCACCCAGTGGCCATAGTCCACTGAGTGAACAACAGTGCGTGCACCAGACAGACCCTACAAACAAGACGACATGAAGTTGCAGGTTTTACAACGCTGCTAATGTGGAAACGAGAACTAAATGTAAAATAAGTAACGGATCATTAACAAGTGAAAATACAGTGGAGTGTGCAAAATGAAACAGTTCGATGCTAATTCACCAGTGTTTGACTTTTTTTCACCCTTTCAAGAAGATACCGTTTATCATTTCTTAGTCAATTACCTATTTTGCTACAGTTCGTGCTTCTGCACTTGACAGTTCCATAAAAAGAAATTACAACTTGACGCTGCCTTGCTACCGTCATGCAAAAAGGCTCACATTTGTCATATGGTACAAAGCCTAATCATCTCCTGATGTTGCTTGCAATTTACAAATTATAACATTGGTTCCTCGACAGAACTCGTCTCCAAAGTAAAACTAAATAATAACACAGTACATGCCTTATACATAGCACCTCACTGAGTTAAAACATCTCAAAGTGTATCTCGCACAGTTACTTTGATGTGTAGTGACTGTTTTTAATGTAAACTGTACACACAAATTACAATGACTACATTTAATTCACCCCAATGTATCATTATGTCATTACAGTCAGTCTCGTTAAAAAAAACTGTGGTAAAAGTATATCACTAAGGAACAGTTTTTCTTTAAAGTGGTTTCCAGATTGGAATACTTCTACGAATGATGTTCAGAATTACAGTACAGTATTTGGAGAAGATAGTTTAGTCTGGCAAGGTGGTGGGGGGGGGGGGGTAGTGTTCAATCCTTCTTCTCCCACACAGCCCTCCCCCAAAAAAAAATCACGTGGATTTTCCAAGCATCTGCAGTGCTGGTTAAAAGATAGTACAGAGCAGAAATGCAGTACAGCTCACACACACAGACTGATGGTTTATTGCAAATGTCTGCCCCTATCCGGGCATTTCTAGATACTCACTCAAACAGCAATGGGTTTGCATTTAAAATGCAAGATCAGTATATAATATTGCTGGGCAGCAACCGTCATCTTCAGTGTCTTTCTCCCCCCTTCCTATTTTGTACTAAAACAAAAAACCGGATTCATTGAGCTATTTTGATCCTTGCTCTAAAGCAAAACAAAATTTGCAGGAACTGCAGTCAAAAAAAAACTTACAAGCATGTTCTTTTCTATGTGCATCTAAAATGTTTGATCCTTTCCCCCCCCCACCCCATCCATATTGATTGATCACTGGGTGGGATGGGTGGACAAGGCATGTCAATAGCAGCAGTGACATTAACACTTCATAGAGGGTATCTCATTGCCCAGCTGAGTGTTGGGGTGGGGGGGAGGGAGATGTTGGGTGGAAAAAAAAAATCACACCACAGTTTTGGTCAGGAAATTGAACTCAGAATACCAAACACTGAAGAGAAAATTGCTCCCTGGATTCCCAACAGCCAAACCCAGGCTTTGGACCGTTTCAGACCCAGACAGATGCCTCCCAACCAAACCCACCACCCTTGCCTGGCCAATGACTTGACTTCCTCACTTCCAATAATACATCTGTAAAAAAAAAAAAAATCATCTAGTTTCTGCAAATAAACAGCAACAACACCAATACTTTGCATTTGCATTAGAGCCTTTCACGTCCAGGGATTTGGAGTCGAGGTTAGTTTGGGTGGATGTTGACATTATTATGATGGAAGGGTTGTATTTCGCTCAGCAGAAAATAGAGGGAGTGCAGTACTTCTGCAACACATGAGAGGCGGTTTCTAAGCGTGGGCACAACATACAGGAGCAACCTTCCACTCAACCCAACTCACCTGGTTCATCTGTGCAGAACCAGTATTAGCCCAACAGCAGATCAACCAGTAAAGACATATCGACAGTATAAATAAAAGAGCATTGCATTCATTAAAGTGATTTGCAGGGGGGGGGGGGGGGGGTTGTTTTAGTACAACATTGCACGACTAAAGGCACAGCAATTTGAGGCTGTTTTTTTCTCTGTTGGTGCCAAAAGTCTTGCTTGGTGGAAATTTTTATTTTGCAATCTAACCCACTGTGCAGCTAATCGCAAATGTACAGTTGGGTCATTCAGTCTTAAAGACTGGGGCTACGGTACAGGGGCTGTGGGTGGAAGAGATCGATGGGCAGATTCAATCAGTCAGTCTTTATTAAAGAAGGGTGACGTGGAGAAATATCACATCCTAATTGCTTTATGCATATACTATGTATACATATATATATATATATATGATATATCCCTCTCCATTTGGACCAGTCAATGCCAAAGCAACAGCAGCAATGAACCTGCGGACTCGAATTAATTGCTTTCACCCTCTCTTAAAGAGCTACAGATGTCAGTATCTCTCTCCCCAGAGAGGCTTTCATATCAGGGGTCGGATTAGCTTTCGAGACAAATGAATGTCTGGGGGAAAAGATCACACACACAGACAGTTACCAAACCCTCAATTTTACCCCACACACACCCCCCACACACACACACACACACACACACACACCCCACACACACAGAGACACAGACACCCACACACAGAGACACACACACACACACACAGAGACAGACACACACCCCACACACACAGAGACACAGACACCCACACACAGAGACACACACACACACACACACAGACACACACACACACACAGAGACAGACACACACCTCACACACACAGAGACACACACACACAGACACACACACACACACACACACACCCCACACACACACAGACACACACACCCACACACCCCCCCACACACACACACACACACAGAGACACACACACCCACACACACAGAGACACGCACACACACACCCACACCCACTGGGGTAAACTTTCCGCTCCTGATGCACTTCACCTGTCAGCCCTCACCTGGACTGTCCCACTCCCTCCGCCTCTCACACCCGCTGCCGTTCACACCGCCGAGCACAGCGGAGTGCGGGTCGTGCCCCAAACATACCGACAGGGAACAGACGAGTTTAAGGGCGTCCCTTTACGGTTTGCAATGCAGAATGTGCAGCGTTGGGAAGTGTCCCCCAAAAAAACACACACACGACACGACACGATTACCACCTTAAAGATCTCTGAGAACGAGTGCAACGAGTGGGGATTATATAAATGCATATTATGTCCTGCACTTCACTAACACACACACACACACACACACACAGAGAGAGAGAGACAGTTCGGATTAAGAATGCAATAGGAGTTCTGGATATTTTGCATTTTGCAGCCTATTTGCGGATAAATTGCAGGTGGGGGTGTGGGGTGGGGGGGTGTGGGGGGTGTGGGGGGAGAACGCAAGATTTATTATTTTTTTTCTTTGAAAAAAATGATACAAATACATTTTTTTGTTAAAAAAACACTCACACACACACACGAATGCACCAGTCCCGCATCCACTCGCTCGACCACCTTTGTGTTCTCAGTAAATGTGCATTTGTTTGTGCTTTTGAACGCAAAAAAAAATGTCCCATTTTATAAATGCATAAATACACACATACATATGGAGAGAGAGAGAGAGAGAGAGAGAGAGAGTCATATTAAAAATCACTTTAAAATCGAAAAAGAAAAATGATTGATTAATTGATTGATTGATTGATTGATTGATTGCAATTCATTTGGACTTAACTTACCATAGACCCCTTGGCCGGCAATGCCTTCTACAAGAACTGTGAGGAGCCACAGGACGAGATGAGCCAAATCCATCTTCACGTTAGTGTTAACATATCCAGTTTGCGAGAGCGCTGTGTTCCTGGTTCCAGATGCCTTTGGTCGACTGGTCGGTGTGTGTGGGGTGTGGGGGGAGTCTCAGTAATTTCCAACCCTCTGGGTACCCTGGATCGCCACCAGAGAGAGAGGGAGAGGGAGAGGGGAGAGGAGGAGAGTGGTGGTGGTGGTGATGGAGAGAAAGAAATCCCAATCCACTCCTGAACCCCACCAGAGCGATCCCACACACACTCACTCACTCACACACACACACACAGAGAGAGAGACTTCCAATCGATGAATTCAAACGCAGAGACGAGATGTGTTCTGGTGTTTCAACGCACAGCAGCGTTTAAGGGAGAAGAAGGGAAGAGGGGAAAAAAAAGGAGAGGGAGGGAGGGAGAGAGAGAGGGAGAGAGAGAGAGAGAGAGGCGATGGCAAAGCCGTGGCTGGTGTCTGTCTGTCACTTTGTGGGGGCAATGCCCATGAAACACACTGAGCTCTGTGTGTGTGTGTGTGTGTTAAAGAGGCACTGCAAAGAGAGAGAGAGGATGGGGGGTGTTTGGAGGGGAGGGGGGGGTGTTTGGGGAGGGGGGGGTGTTTGGAGGGGGGGGGTGTTTGGGGAGGGGGGGTGTTTGGGAGGGGGGGGTGTTTGGAGGGGAGGGGGGGTGTTTGGAGGGGGGGGTGTTTGGAGGGGGGGGGTGTTTGGAGGGGAGGGGGGGGGTGTTTGGGGAGGGGGTGTTTGGGGAGGGGGGGGTGTTTGGAGGGGAGGGGTGGGGGTGTTTGGAGGGGAGGGGGGGTGTTTGGGGAGGGGGGGTGTTTGGGGAAAGGGGGGGTTTGGAGGTGGGGGTGTTTGGAGGGGAGGGTGGGGGTGTTTGGAGGGGGGGGGGGTTTGGGAGGGGGGGTGTTTGGGGAGGGGGGTGTTGGGGAGGTGGGGGGGGTGTTTGGGGAGGGGGGGTGTTTGGGGAGGTGGGGGGGGGGTGTTTGGGGAGGTGGGGGGGGTGTTTGGGGAGGTGGGAGGGGTGTTTGGGGAGGTGGGGGGGGGTGTTGGAGGGGAGGGGTATTTGGGGGGGGTGTTTGGGGGGGTGGGGGGTGGGGGGGTGTTTGGGGAGGGGGGGGGTGTTTGGGGAGGGGTGTTTGGGGGTGGGGGGGTGGGGGGTGTTTGGAGGGAGGGGGGTGTTTGGGAGGGGGGGGTGTTTGGGGAGGTGGGGGGGGGTGTTTGGGGAGGGGGGTTTGGGGAGGGGGGTTTGGGGAGGGGGTGTTTGGGGAGGGAGGGGGTGTTTGGGGAGGGGGGGTGTTTGGGGAGGTGGGGGGGGTGTTTGGGGAGGGGGGGTGTTTGGGGAGGTGGGGGGGGTGTTTGGAGGGGAGGGGGGTTTGGGGAGGGGGGTTTGGGAGGGGGGGGTGTTTGGGGAGGGGGGGGTGTTGGGGAGGGGGGGTTTGGGAGGTGGGGGGGGTGTTTGGAGGGGAGGGGTGGGGGGTGTTTGGAGGGGAGGGGGTGTTTGGGGAGGGGGGGGTGTTTGGGGAGGTGGGGGGGGGTGTTTGGGGAGGGGGGGTTTGGGGAGGGGTGGGGGTTGTTTGGAGGGGAGGGGTGGGGGTGTTTGGGGAGGGGGGGTTTGGGGAGGGGTGGGGGGTGTTTGGAGGGAGGGGTGGGGGTGTTTGGAGGGGAGGGGTGGGGGTGTTTGGAGGGGAGGGGGTGTTTGGAGGGGAGGGGGTGTTTGGGAGGTGGGGGGTGTTTTCTCGCCTTCCTTCCTTCCTTGTCGGCTGTGGTGGTATTAGGGGTAAGTCACGCAGCTCCTGGGAGAGCGATTAACAAATCCGTTTGATTGCAGCTCAGCCCCAACACCGACATCACATCACATCCCATCCGAGGCGCTGCGTTTCCCCAAACATTCCATCAGCTGCAGAAACGTGTCTCACCGTCCACACCCGAGTGTGTGTGTGTGTCTATATATATATATACACAGAGAGAGAGAGAGAGAGAGATGTAGAGCAGCAAAACAGCCGATTCCCCCCAAAAAACCCTCTCCAAATACGCGTCTTATTTCAGCAGAAAGACCACATCACAGAGAGAGAGAGAGAGAGAGAGGAGTGATGCACTGATCGGGACGTGTGTGTGTGTCTGTGTCTGTGGGTAATGACGTCCAAAAGGAAATCTCCCACAGCAGCAATGACTGGGAACTAAATCACAGGAACCAGGAGGTCAGGACTCGAAGGGAAAAACGGCGCCTTCGTCGCTGTATCCGCGTCTGTGGAGAGAGACAGAGAGACAGAGAGAGACACAGAGAGAGACAGAGAGAGAGAGACAGAGAGACAGAGAGAGACAGAGAGAGAGAGAGAGAGAGGAGATGTCATCTCTATGTGTTGTGTGTGAGAGAGACAGTGAGACCCGGAGACGTGGCATTGCCCATCGCCATCCCCCGATGCGTCTTCCACCCCCTTTGGCTGAGTCGCTGCGTCGGAGTGGGGGCTGGTGGGGGGGTGATGGGGCTGGTGGGGGGTGATGGGGATCTGTGGGGGGTGATGGGGGCTGGTGTGATGGGGCTGGTGTGGTGGGGGGTGATGGGGATCTGGTGGGGGGGTGATGGGGATCTGGTGGGGGTGATGGGGATCTGGTGGGGGTGATGGGGATCTGGTGGGGGTGATGGGGATCTGGTGGGGGGTGATGGGGATCTGGTGGGGGGTGATGGGGATCTGGTGGGGGCGTGATGGGGATCTGGTGGGGGGTGATGGGGATCTGGTGGGGGGTGATGGGGATCTGGTGGGGGTGATGGGGATCTGGTGGGGTGATGGGGATCTGGTGGGGGTGATGGGGATCTGGTGGGGGGGTGATGGGGATCTGGTGGGGGGGTGATGGGGATCTGGTGGGGGGTGATGGGGATCTGGTGGGGGTGATGGGGATCCGGTGGGGGTGATGGGGATCTGGTGGGGGTGATGGGATCTGGTGGGGGTGATGGGGATCTGGTGGGGGGTGATGGGGATCTGGTGGGGGCGTGATGGAGATTTGGTAGGGGGTGATGGGGATCTGGTGGGGGATGATGGGGATCTGGTGGGGCTGGTGGGGGGTGATGGGGATCTGGTGGGGGTGATGGGGATCTGTGGGGTGATGGGGATCTGGTGGGGGTGATGGGATCTGGTGGGGGGCTGGTGGGGGGTGATGGGGATCTGGTGGGGGGTGATGGGGATCTGGTGGGGTGATGGGGATCTGGTGGGGGTGATGGGGATCTGGTGGGGGTGATGGGGATCTGGTGGGGGGTGATGGGGATCTGGTGGGGGATGATGGGGATCTGGTGGGGGCTGGTGGGGGGTGATGGGGATCTGGTGGGGGTGATGGGGATCTGGTGGGGGGCTGGTGGGGGTGATGGGATCTGGTGGGGGGCTGGTGGGGGTGATGGGGATCGGTGGGGGGCTGGTGGGGGGTGATGGGGATCTGGTGGGGTGATGGGGATCTGGTGGGGGGCTGGTGGGGGTGATGGGGATCTGGTGGGGGTGATGGGGATCTGGTGGGGGCTGGTGGGGGTGATGGGGATCTGGTGGGGGTGATGGGGATCTGGTGGGGGTGATGGGGATCTGGTGGGGGGTGATGGGGATCTGGTGGGGGGTGATGGGGATCTGGTGGGGGGGTGATGGGGATCTGGTGGGGGGGTGATGGTGATCTGGTGGGGGGTGATGGGGATCTGGTGGGGGGTGATGGGGATCTGGTGGGGGTGATGGGGATCTGGTGGGGGGTGATGGGGATCTGGGGGGGGTGATGGGATCTGGTGGGGGGGTGATGGGGATCTGGTGGGGTGATGGGGATCTGGTGGGGGCTGGTGGGGTGTGGGGGCTGGTGGGGGGTGGTGGGGGCTGGTGGGGGCTGGGGGGCTGGTGGGGGTGGGGGACTGGGGGGGCTGGTGGGGGGTGGGGCTGGTGGGGGGTGATGGGGTCTGGTGGGGGTGATGGGGGCTGGTGGGGGCTGATGGGATCTGGTGGGGGTGATGGGGGCTGGTGGGGGGTGGTGGGGGCTGGTGGGGGCTGGGTGGGGGGCTGGTGGGGGCTGGTGGGGGCTGGTGGGGGCTGGTGGGGCTGGTGGGGGCTGGTGGGGGCTGGTGGGGGCTGGTGGGGGTGGCTGGTGGGGGCTGGTGGGGGCTGGTGGGGGCTGGTGGGGGCTGGTGGGGGTGATGGGGGCTGGTGGGGGTGATGGGGGCTGGTGGGGGCTGATGGGATCTGGTGGGGCTGGTGGGGGTGGTGGGGGCTGGTGGGGGGCTGGTGGGGGCTGGTGGGGGCTGGTGGGGGCTGGTGGGGGCTGGTGGGGGTGATGGGATCTGGTGGGGCTGGTGGGGGCGATGGGGATCTGGTGGGGGTGAGAGATCAGAGTGTAACTGGAATAAATGTGAGAGGAGGAGGAAGAGGAAGAGGAAGGAAGAGAGAGAGGTGGTGTTTGCAGAGCTGTTGGTCACGTTGGGGGTGATGGGATCTGGTGGGGGGGTGATGGGGATCTGGTGGGGTGATGGGGATCTGGTGGGGGCTGGTGGGGTGATGGGGGTGGTGGGGGTGATGGGGGGCTGGTGGGGGGTGATGGGGGGCTGGTGGGGGTGATGGGGATCTGGTGGGGGGCTGGTGGGGGTGATGGGGATCTGGTGGGGGGTGATGGGGATCTGGTGGGGGGTGATGGGGGCTGGTGGGGGGTGATGGGGATCTGGTGGGGGTGATGGGGGCTGGTGGGGGGTGATGGGATCTGGTGGGGTGATGGGATCTGGTGGGGGGCTGGTGGGGGTGATGGGATCTGGTGG